AAAAAAACACAATGCTGCATGGAGATGGTAAATTCTGTGTTACAGTGGTAATAACACATTTTATTTAGTTTATACTTGAAGATAGAGTATACGGGTGTACTGCATGTATTGTGATGTTTATACAATAAATCGTTGCTTTCATGTAAACATGAGAAGCTTTTGTGTTACCGTAAGTATAGAGCTGACAGGCTGCTTATGCCTCTCCTTGATGGATTGTGTTTCTGTAGTGAGCCGCTGCACTAGTAAATGGCTCACGTAGAGTCACTGCACTTGAGTTTATACAGCAGGGATCGATACAGCTGTACTCCATATATCTGGCTCTCTCGTACTCTCTGTGTAAGATCTCCCTGTCGGGCCGGTTTCCTGTTATTGTGGTCGGCTATTACTCCAAAAACAATTTAGAGATGCAGCTCTTCCATGGCACTTTATCGCGGTTTTAGTTAATTAGTGTTCAGTGTTATAGCTTTGTTAACAATACTGCGGGCTGTTGTACTCACAGAGGTTTATTCGTCCATTTTCATGGACATAACTAGCCCAGTTTAGAGTTTTCCCAACTTTAATCACATTTGGAATGACAGCAAACATGAAAGAGATAATTATTGAAATCCCATTTTACGTAAGAACCGTGATTGGATTCTCGCCATTTTCAGAAACAGATGAGGTATATATCAGAATAAAACGTCTAGCTGTAGAATACACATCAAATCATAACCAGTGGGGAATATCAAGCACAGCTGGAAATCTATCCATATTACCTACACTGTAAAAAAAATTGTAATAAAAAAGTATTTTACAATTTTGTACTGTTCTTCTAGAATATCATTAAATTTACATAAATAAACTGTGATTTTACATTTCAAATGTAAATTAACGTAAAATCACTGTAAATGTAATAAAACATAATTTTCATGATTATTAAATGTATCTGTCTGTACATGTGCATATTTAGATTGTTAAAATAATTCACAAATGCATCATAATTTCACAAATATCTGTCCGTTATTTGAAAGATTGAACTGTTCAATTCAAATGTAATGCTGTGGAAAAATATATAAAATGATTCTTATAAACTTTTTTTATATCAAATAATAATAATAATTATTATTGCTATTTAGGGCGATCGTGGCTCAAGAGTTGGCAGTTCGCCTTGTAATCAGAAGGTTGCCGGTTTGAGCCCCGGCTCGGACACTCTCGGTCGTTGTGTCCTTGGGCGAGACACTTCACCTACTGGTGATGTCAGAGGGGAATTATAAAGTGGAATTATAAAGCACTTTGAGGGTCTCATAAAGCGCTTTATGAATGCAATCCATTGTTATTATTTAAACCTATTGTTAACTGTATATTTCTGTACATTTAAGTATTATTATTCATATTGCTGCATTCATTGACCTTGTTTATAGGTAATTTCATTGTTTAATCATGTAAAATTGTTCCTAATTTAATGTTTGAAAGCACTTGAAAAAGGCAAAAGCCCATGTAAAATTAGGGCAACAAACTGTATTGTCATTACTGAAAATAACCGTATTTTCATGGGAAAGTTATTTTCTGTGATTTTATGGTATTATTTTGGCGCCCAGCTGCCGTAATATTACTGTTTTTTTATGATTTTTTTACAGTGTAGTTTTCCAGCCTGGACTGGAACATAAGGTAGAAATCAGCTCGATTGCCGAGCAGTTAGCCGTTAGCAGTTAGCAGTTAGCAGTTAGCGATCAGTCTGACCATGTCAGAGATCATTGTTCCTTGGCACAGCCCTAATTCAGTTAACCACTGTTGTAATTATTAAACACTTTACTGCAAATTTAATAAACAACGACCCCCCTTAGTAAAATATAACTCTATAGAAGCCTACGCCTCCAAACATCTGCCGGGCTTATCATGTCTGGTTTGCTAGATTAGCTAGCTACCCAGCTACACATCAGTTAGTAGCCAAAGCCCAATGACGTGGCAGATCAGCATCAAGTCTGTTGAAAGTTGCTTTTGGGTCGAGCATTGTTTTAGTGATAAGCCATAATGTTGTATGTACTCCTGAGGTCGTGTTCATTGACCTAGCATACCAAGAAGTATGTCCGCTAAAAAACAGCCTAACACAGGTTACAAAAAGTCATCTCTGAAGGTGATATGTAGTTGACACTACTGTGTGTTTGAGACCTTTGTGGGACTGCAGCTCTGTACATTATATAATGACATTTGTGGTAGTGTGAGTTTGTGTGAAAAGGTGTTTCTGTGAAGCCTAACAGCAGAATGGAAACAGCAAACAGGAGGAGCGGACGTGTTCTTGTTAGAGACCTCCTGAAGGTCACGAATGGCAAATAACCTAACCCCAACCCTAACCCTTCTTTCTTAGTAAACCTTCTAAGCTTCTCACAGTTCTTTGGGCTCATTATTAACATTTCCCACGTGCCAGGTTTTGGAAATCTGCTGCTTCTTTGCAAAATGTTTGTGACTTTTCAGTCTGAAATACCGAGTGGTTCACACAAATTGCATGAACCACTCGGCATAATTGATCTGCTTTGGATTGCTTTGTAATGAAGTGCTCTGGTTTGTTTGACTGACTGCCTTGTAATCTAATTAGCATCCTTTCATTTTGTGAATTGAAACATGCTTTAACACCAAGTCACTAATCCAGTCAACGGATGCTGTGTAGAAACATGGCGCGCACATCTTCGGGATGCGGTGCTTGTTTGTTTTCAGTTTCAGAAATAAATCGAGGCTCAGCTGTTCACACTTTGCTCAGGATAAAAATATGCAGTCTTCTTGTGTCCTCCTTACAGCTTTCACATTATAATCACAATATAATTCAGATTCTCTGTAATCAGTTGTTCTTATCGCTGAAGTGACAGCGTACCATCCATTTCTTTTTCTCGTCATCTCTCCAGCTTTTGTCTTTTAAAAGTAACTAATGATCCTCCTAACTCTGAAACAACACTTTGAACAGTTTCTAGATTAAAGATATGCATCTGTGGCACCAAGGCTTTGGGCTAGTCACCTATTACAGTTACATTCAGATGACTCTGTGGACGTTAAACTTGGTTTTCAGTTGATACTTTTACTGATTTTAATTTATTATGCATCTTTTTTATGGCTTTTAATTTTCTT